CTGCCACAGAGCACGCTTGTAAGAGCAGCTCAGGCAATGTCAGGGAGGACAAGACAACGGACAGTGCTCTTCAGAGGGCACGACGAACCATTCGCTTCTCCTGCCTTTCGGTGTCAGGGTCCCGGGACCTCCACCCTGAATTTCTAATTCTTTCCCTCCTGCCCATAAAGAAGGCTGCAGCCAAAAAAAACCACAAAAACCCTGATTCATCCGGATCAGAGGAGGCCGACTGAATCAAAAGGATCTTCCCTAAAAGGGCGACGGGAGGGGGGAGACGACCAAGCGCCCCATTGATCCAAAGGCTTTCCACTACCGGGTGGCAAGCAGCTGGGTTGATGGGGGGAAATGGGAGCTCAGGGAGATGACGAAGATCACCCACTCAGCCGTGCACCGCTTGGGCGCGCTTACTCACACAGCGAGCTGTTTGTTTTTAATCGTGTGTTGTTGTTTTCAAAAGCAAGCAGCTGGTCCATATTGTGCAACTCGGAAAAGAAAAACAGTGCGCAGCTGGAAGGCTGGTCTACGGGCAGTGGGAAAATGCAGGCAGGGAAGGAGATGTTGCGCACTTGAGACGGGACATTTGTAACCGTGCGTTGTTGCTTTTACATGCCGCCTCCAGGACTTGACAGCTCGTTCTGTCCTGAACGGCCTGGTTCAGCTCTTGCCAACTCAAGCCCTGTGGCTTCCTTGAGAGAGTCGGTCCATCTCCTATTTGGCCTTCCTCTTTTCCTGCTGCCTTCCTCCTTTCCCAGCGTGATCGTCTTTTTCCCCCCCAGAGAATCTGCCTGGCCTCTCAGGAGGTGTCCAAAGTAGAACAGCCTCAGAGTGACTCTGTGCATTCCTCAAAATGTTTGCACAAGCTTCCTAGGTCTTTGTGACTTATGGGGAACCAAGGCGGAAGAATCCAGTGGTTAGGAGTTCCTCATACGGGCAGCACCAGATTGATGAGGCAGCAGAAACCAAGGGATCACCTGGCAGCTAAACCAAAGCAGATCTTTAACTTAATCGTCTCTCTCTCTCTCGGAGAGGTGATAAGAAAGCGCCACTCCCAGGGCTGATATCAGATAAAAGCAAGGAACAAAAGATGCAGGGTGTGCAGCATTTTGATTTCATGTGGGATGCCTCACTGCCTTTGGAAAATCTGCTTCAAAAGCTGCCTTGCTTTGCCCCCTCCAGGGGGGGATGGTGGCCGGTGAAGACTTCTGTGTGAACCCATGACTCTTCCATCTTGCAAACCCCTCTCTGGTTTGCAAGAGGCATCCAGGTGAATCAAAGAATGGTGAAATTGGGGGAGAGACAGAGAGAAGGAAGAGATGATTTAATGCTCTGGGGAAGGCGTGGGGGAATTAAAGCGGAGATCACAAAACCGCCAGTGTCAACCAGAGATCAGGCAGCTCCTTCGGGCATGTCGCGCGGCGCATGAATTACGAATTGGTGAGGTTCCAAGCACGCCTTTCCTCATGGAGAAAGCTGATCTGAGCCTCCAGGGTTGCAGGAGGGGAGGAAGCCCGCTCGGTCTGAGCGGCAGCACCTGCCACCCGGCCGCTCCGAGCACAGCGCTACAGTGCTGCGGCGGCCTAGCGCCAGAACCCGAGCCTGGGGTGTCCCCGAGCGAGCGAGAGCTGCCTTCCGACACAGCCAGCGGCTTGTTTCAGCCCGGGCGCGACGCCAGGGCCCGCCAGCTCCTGCTCCTCACCTTCCTGGACTCCCCTCTAAAATATCGTAAAAAGAGATAATGATCTGAGGAGAAAGTTCAGGTTCCCAAGCATCCTCTGTAAGGAGTAACGGAGGCGCAACGTTTGAGGAAACAGGTCCAGCCGCACCTTGGAGAGGTCAGCGCTCCGGTCAAAGGGTCGTTCGTGGTTTGTCACCCGATGAAGCCATCCCAACCTTGGCATAAAAATCCACCTCTCTTTGGAGAAGCGACACCTCCAAGTTTCCAGA